TTTTTTGTGAAACATAAGATGAACAATGAAATTTAAAATGAACAAAATGGAGAATGTCACATGAGATGAATATGAAAACATGTTTTCGGATGCATTAGATGGAAAATGCAATGCAATGGACATATGACATGAAATTTGCAAGACATATGGAAGATTTAATGTGAAATGAGTAGGATGGACATATGACATGTGAAACAATCATGAACTTTTTTTTTTTTTTTTAATGATGCATGGGGTTGAAAATGAAGATACAAAGTGCATGAAATGCTCCTTACCTCAAGAATGATGTCTGAATGCAAAAGATGAATAACTAATCATACCTCAAATGCATATAAGAATAAAAAACCTGTCATGTGCAGAGACAAAGTTAGTGAAGAAAAATGCCCCTTTTTGTGTCTTAGACACGGGATCCCTAACCTCACGGGTGGGATGCTAAGGGAAACATGTCCTAGGGTTGGTATCTCTTTAAGGCCATTACATGTTTTCCTAAAGGGCATTAGGCTTTCTCAACCATTTATCCTCTCGGAATCAACATGAGATATTTCCAAAAGCTAATACACAGAATGATATTACATCATCAGGTGTCGTATTAACCAATGGAAACAACCTAATGGGAATCGATCTTACTCCTCAAAGCGGGAAGAATTGCTCTTCCAGGCCAGATTCGTAAGGATTCCAGACTAGAGGTCAGGTTCACCTCCGACACAGACCTAATGCAAAATGAGAGTGAGTGTGTGCAAAGGGCATGACACTCGATAACCTGCACAATGGCAACCACAAAAAATAGCAACATATATCCCACAGCAATCAAATAAAGCATGTAAAGCACTCAACAAATATACCACTCACAAACAAACCTACTTACATAGAAGGAAGGGACTCACCTAGTACTCCCATGCCAAATGCAAAAGGTTAGTAACACAAAGCAACCAACACTTAGCATGCAACAAGTTACAAATAATCGCACAAGAGGGAAGAGACTCACTGAGTACTCCATAGCCAAGTGTAAAAGGTGAGTATATCCACACACAAGCAAGTAGGCATATAGGCATGATGCATGATGAATAAGCATGTAATATCAATGATGGATGAGCATGTGAGATGATATGATGCATGAACATGTAAGCAAGATATGATGCATGCCAAGATGTAGCCAAATAATTACTCAAAAGCAAAATAGTAAAGCAACCATCAAAACAACAAGAAAGAAAGAACAAACAATAAGCACATGCAATGAGTAACAAAGACTCACAAAGACTCCACAAAGAAAGAAAAATCAAAAGTTGAAAATTCTCCAAAGTTAAAGTATTAGCTCGACCCTCGTGAACCCAGAATATGGAAACCAGAGATTCTAGATTCATTCCCCAGTGAAGTCACCAAACTGTTGACGACCACTTAAAAAGGGAATTAAATAAATTGAAAAATCAAGTGTAAAAATGTATAAGAAAAGGGAGTCGCCACTCATCCAAATTATAAGGTGGGACAAGTCACCTAAAACAGGTCTGCGCAGAAATCGGGGTTCGAGGGTTCGGTTAGGAGTGAGGAAGGGCATACGCGCACCTCACAATCCTCCGTTTAAACACGGTTGCATACTTTAACATTTGGGGTTTTGATTCAACTTAATCATCATGTTTATGCTTGAGTCTTAATAGGTAAGCCTAAAGTAGAAGCAAACACAGAGAAAT